GCCTCCAGAGGCTTGGAAAGGAGAGGTGACTGCTTTATGCAATGCAGGACTTCTGAAACCAAGCATGGGGTCTTATTCAGTGAGGCGGGAGGCTTCTGCTGTCTCTTTCTTCCAGTTCCAGGTATGGCATGAAGAGAACTGGTTGAAGAGCCTCGCAGTGGACCAGCTGCTTGCACCAGATCATGAAGGGAACAGCTCAGTTCTTTAGTGAGCTGGTTTTGGTCTCAACAATGTTCTTTTGACCCCTTCCTTTTCCTTCATACCAGGCCTCAAGAAGGGTTTTATTAAATGTTTGACTCCCAGTCAAAGATGGTAGCCATGTGGCTTTGCAGAAGTAGGTTATGAAGCTCTCAGATGTTCTCAGATGGCAGCTTCCAGTGGAACCCTAACCATTGTTTATGCTGGCTCGGGCTGGTGGGAGATGAAATCTTAACAACATGTCTAAGCCCATGGGTCCCGCTCCCCTCGCCCACCTCCAGCTTCGTTATTATTGTTGTTCTTTAAAATAAGTTGATCATTGTATTTGCAGAGGTTCTTAAGAAGCATAAAGCTACTGAACAGCAAATAGAAAGTTGTTTTCTGCGAAAGTAAAGACAGTGAGTCCGTATAAACTGGTGTTTCATAAACCACTTCGGCAGAATGAGGTTCGTTGAAAAGGCAAATATTTGTTCCTCGTTTCTCCCGTGAAAGGAAACCCCCTTTTTGGTCAGGTTGAAAAGGAGGCAGGAATAGCTGAAAACCGAACCCTCCTATTGAAAAGGAATCATGTTCACTCAACATCTTTTCCCCCCTGGAAACCCCATTTCTGTTCAGCCTTTTTGGGGTAAAGGCGATAACGGGCTTGGGAACAGAGCTCAGAAAAATTATTTTGAACTACCTGCTGGCTGGTTTATGCTGGGAGTTGTAGTCTGAAAGAGGCCACATTCCCAAGCTTTGGTTGATTCTCTCTTATACGTAATAGTGATTTTTATTCAACTTGAGCCAAAAGCTGATCCAGATATTGGTAATGATTACATAGAATTCTCATTGAAATCCATGGAATTTTGTTGTTGTTAAATGTATGAGGATGAGCCTCACATGGTAAGTATTCATGAAAATAATTTGGTTTGGGTGTTAAGTGAAAGTTTTTGTTGGTAAGTGATTGATCTCCTAAGTCTCTGTTCCCTTTGTTCAATGGGTGCAATAGATGATGTGCTTAAAATGTATGCTAAAAGTAGTGAAATAATCTGATTTCCAAAGACATGTATTTCCTCCAAAATGTGCAATTAACAAAGTGAATCATTGGTAGGCAGTGATCCTGCAGATTTCGTAAGCAGAGAGAAACCTGGAGGAGAAAGGAGAATAGTAGATTTATAAGGGGTCATAAATATTAAAGCAGGGGTTCAATAAAAGGGCACGTGGGGAATAGACAGCGGCACACTGTAGGGTGCAAGATTTGGGGGTGTTACTTGGTATGTGGTTTCCTTTTTCAAATGCTCTAATTGTGAATGTCGTAACAAAATTATTGTTCTTCTCCTGGTGTCTGTGTGGCTATGCATGTTTTCTGTTAATTTCCTCCATCCTTTACCTTCAATAAATGTATATATTGTGATATTGTCTTCAGGTTTTTTTGAGCTATAAATGTGGTTGGAGAGGGACCGTTTTGGTTAATCATAAGGAAAATTATAAATGTCTCATCGCTCGCCCTGCTCCTTGTTCAGGTCAAGCGCCCCCTCCCCACTCCAGACCGGCCAAAACGTAGGTCCCCCATTCTTGCCAAAAATTCAATCCTTCCTAAAACAGATTGATATGGTTACTTCTTGGGAAATTATGATCATGGTTCACAGTAATATGTTCGCCAGGCAAGTGCTGAAATGTCTTTGGAAAAGCAATTAAGCAAAGTCTAAAGTCCATGATTAACAGCTCAAATGCAAGTGCATGCACCTGTTGGGTCTGTGAACCACCTCACATGCTCCATGAGGCCTCAGGGGGGAGGGCATGCTTTGGTAGCCGCCTGACCCATGGAAAGTCAGCAAATGTGGGGGTTTTTCCCCTTTACTATCTCTCCGTTTTATGAAAATCCTAATTATGGCAGGAACCGCTTGTCAGTTTCCTGTTTGACCTCTTCAATCGTAAGTAATGAAACCTTTCATTCTCTCTGTTCCTAACAGTGAGCTATGGAGACTGTAAGTGCCAGTTGATGAAAAAAGGGGGTGGGCTTTGCCAGCCTGCAGAAAGACAGCAAGTATAAAATCAGTCTAGCCTTCTGTGGGAGGGAGTTTCAAAGTCTGGAAACAGACTTAGTAAACTCTTCTGAGGAACAGGAGGATCAGAATTCATTTTTTTAATAGGAGAATTTCTCAAAAAGGCCCATTCCCAAAGGACACGAGACAGATGCTACACAGCCACCTGAGTGGGTTTGACCTTAGTCCGCAGCTGCTGGGTGCATGACTTATTAACAGTGGGCGTGATAGTTCTGAGGAAAAGGGACTTGGTCTGTTTGTTGGCAACAGCCAGCGGTAACTAACTTGTCCAAATAATTACACAGCCATTAGCTCCTATCTCCGTTGATCCGACGCCAGTTGTCAAGAGCAGCAACTGTGTCCACAACACATCTGGCGGGGGGAAGGATGATAATTGCTGAAGATTTTAATTAGACAGGCAGCTGCTGTCCAGAAAGATACGACAGCGCCGCACCAAGATACAGTATTTAGAATCGCTTCCATTTCTTCCATGTATCGAAGGCGGGTATGAGCGCCAGCAGCCTAACTTCAATGCCAACCATGAGAAAATCGCTTCTGCCACATTGGAGGGCAGAAGGCTAATCAGTTTGGAAGTTTGGGACAAATCCTTTCGGACTACAATCCTTGGGTTCTGCCCAGTTCAGAGGCCTCTGTTTCATCTCCGTGGAAGAGAAGATGCAGGACAGAACACACCTCATTGTTCATACTTTGGTTATTTGACATCTCATTAATCCCTGGCTTGGTCAGAAATCTCTTCCTGAGTTTCCTTCCAAGCACCAAACAAAAGCAAGGTTTATTCCAGAAGCTAGGGGAAGTTGGGTTTTTTTAAAAGACAATCAGAGCTAAAGTTCCCCAAGCAATATGGCTGCTGGTGGTCATCCACGCTCTAGGTTTCAACATCCATGAATTTTCTAGGGGGGGGGAAGCATGTCTGCATTTTCAGGAGGAGTTTATCCGAAATTAATTTTAGAACAACCCTATTCCATGAACACCTTGGAGAGATGAGAGATTTACAAATATCTACACCCAGTCCATAACGCTGGAGCAAGGCTGGTGTTGATCTGCAAACCAAATCTAACCCTAAGCTGATTCTCCCCTTTCGTAAGTGATGGGCTGGTGAGGTTCAGAAACTCGCTCGGTTTTGGGCTGTGTTTTTTTGCAAATCTTTCCTGTTTGGTCAAGTTGGTGGCATCTGCACTGCGCCTGAGTGGGGGCGCCTTCTCTCTGTGGAGGTGAACTAGCTTACCTTTACAATCTCAGCTCATGCATGCGGTGTCTCCCAGGAAGATAGCATTCAACTGAAGCTGCGCACATCTGCCCATAATGCTCATTCTTCCTAGCGTTGCTTTACAACAAGCCGAGAAGCCTTCCTCTCGAATACACTGATCGGATGGCAACCTGTGTTTGTTACTTGAACCTCAGGAGAGGACAAAGGGATCCGCTTCCCTGTGGCTTACTTTTCATTTCCTCGCCATGAAATATTTAGAAGCCGGCACTTTTTGTTTTCACGGTTCCTGAAGATGTTCGGAGGACTGGTTCTTTGCCTGCTCCGAATCCACGCAGAGATGCTGGGCCTTCTCCTTCTTATCTCTGCCTTCACATCTTGCCACATTGGGAAAGTACACCCGCAAGGCGACAACTGTGAAAATGGATTTAATTGCACAAGACGACAACAAAACCTCCCAAACTGCCCAGCAGGTAACACACAGTTATTTCCTCTGTGTTCGTTGGCTTCATTTACTAGGTTTTTATTTTATTATTGACACCAGCTTTTGGTGAATTGTCTCAAATGTCCACGTTACAAACAAAACAAAAAAGAAGTCAAGGTGATGATGATGATACAATTATGTTCTTGAATCAACAATGACTTTTCGCCTCCCTGGGGACTAAATGCCAGCTGCCAAACTTTACTAGCAGATAAATTGCAGATAAATTGTTTTATTGATAGTATGGAACTTACAGCCTTTGTCTTGATGGATTCATTTGTTGATCCAGCCAACGTGCTCTTTGCTTGTCTACTGGAAAGCTTGTGTATTGATCGCCCTTTGTTCGGTACTGGAGCTGCGACCCTGCAGTTACAAGAATGCATCTTAAATTTAGTTGCAGTTGGCTCCCATGGAAAGCAATGGGACAGAAGTTAAGTCATGACTGGCAGCTCTCCATGATCTCAGGAGAATGTACTATCAATGATCAATGAACATAAACTCCAGTCATACACAGGCTTAGCCAGAAGTGGGTGGCATTGAAGTCAGTTGCTCTTACTTCTGAGTAGACATCTGTAGGATTTCTGAATTCCCCCCTCCCCCTCCCAAGAGTATTTTTTATGATACCATGGACTCTGACGAGGCTGTCTTGCTATATAGGGCTACATTAATTGTTAGTCTCATATTGAATTGGCAGAGCTTACGCAAGTGCTGACTTGTCCATTGATTCAGTATAGGTCTACTCTAGCTGGAACTAACCATTGAATGTAGGTCAAAATTCGTGTAGCTCCTGTGAATGCATGATTTGAGCAACTACTGTAATATGGGAGAAGTAGACATAAAACATTTCAAATGATAAATTTCATTTTTGGCACCTGAATGTCGAAATTAGGTTGTGACTGTTTTATTTCAGCTCTGCATTCATGTTCAACCAAGAAAGACTGCCCTTAACAGCTATATTCTCATTTGTCCAATTCATGCTTTTTCGCTCAAGGTTTTTACTGTCCAAATGGCGACTCCCCCCCTCTTCCGTGCCCGGAAGGCACCTTCCGCTCAACAGAAAGTTCTCCCCCGCATGAGTGCGTGGCGTGTCCCGTCAATTTCTTCAACGCTAAGCTCGGTCAAGCAGCTTGCTTTCCATGCGGCTCGGAAGCCGTGCAACCGAAGGAAGGCCAAGGAACCTGCGCGTGCCTTCAAGAAGGCCGGGTGTTTCAGGTATGGACCTCAAGTCTTCCCAACACGTAGACAGTTCACAAAGTAATTCTGCTGTTTGGCCAAAATTAGAAGGAATTGAAGAGGAACTAAAGGACCTGGTAACCAGCTGCTCCCAAGAAGCTCTCTAAGAAACCCTGAAAGACACAGTCCAGCAATTCAAGGTCATATTCTGTGCAACAGCCAAGACTTCTAAGTCCGTGGTTCCCAACCTTGGGTCACCCGGGGATTCTTGGACTGCAATTCCCAGAAACCCCAGCCAGCACACTGGGTGAGGAAGGCTTCTGGGAATGACAGTCCAACAACACCTTCATCATGCAAGGTTCGAAGCCATTTCTCTAAGTGACCAGCGGCCAACACTATGCAGCATGTGATGGAAAATTCCCCGATCCACCTGCTTGTTATGTGAAATACTGTATTCCTTTATTTTATCCACTTGGAATCTCTTGCTAAATAGCCCTATGGCAAGGATAGAGGGATAAACAAAACTTCTCCCTCTTCATTGTCTCCACACCCTCCATTATTTTATAAATCTTGACGATGTTTTCCATACTCTCCAGGATGCATCTTTTTTAAAAAAAAAATAAATTAGAAAGCCCCAGATGTTTTAGTTTTTCCATATGAAAGAAAAAAACTCCTGCATCTCATTTATTTCAGTTGCCTTCTTTTTTGGGAAATTGCAGAGGAATTTTTCTCCTTATAGCCGAGCGATGCTCAGTGTCCCTGCGCCCCTGGGTACCACAGTGCTTCCGAAGACCGGAGACAGGGCTGTGTCCAGCAGGTATATGAGATCTGCAGAGATGCTGCCGTCCGGAACCAAGAGGGAGAGTGTCTGATGAAAGAAGAATGGGCCACTTACTGCAGGGAAAAGGTACGGTCGCCTCTCGGTGGGTCACATGACTAGAGATGGGCATGAAACGACCCACAAAGGACAAAACCAAACAAGTAAAAAACACACACAACAGATCAGGCCCATTTCATGATTTGTTTCAAGGCACTTTGGGGAAATGGGCTTGGCCAGAATGAAATCAAATGGCAAACTATTATTGGCGTTGATGATTTGTACGTAGGCTATAACTCAGATGTCCCAAATCCAAACTTTGCCAAACTTGGGCTGGCTCTCGGGCTGACTCTCCTCCCCACCTCCTCCAAGTTTTGCAAAGATTGGGTTTGGGACATCTGAGTTATAAAGGTAAAGGTTCCCCTTGACATTTAGTCCAGCCGTGTCTGACTCTAGGGGGTGGTGCTCATCCCCATTTCCAAGCCATAGAGCCAGCATTTGTCTGAAGACAGTTTCTGTGGTCATGTGGTCAGTGCGACTAGACACAGAATGCCATTACCTTCCCACTTTGGTGGTACCTATTTATCTACTTGCATTTTTTAACATGCTTTCGAATGGCTGGCTTGGAAAGTTCGTGATTCGTTGTTCATGAGCAGCGACGAACCACGAACCCTCATGGACGGCCGTTTTCCCAGTTTGTGCCCATCTCTAGCTATGACAACCAAAGCTTGCTCAGCAATTGCTCTGCGTCATCCCGAGGTGATAGCTAAGATGCCTTGATGTCATTTCATCTTCTCTTCCAGATTTGCTCCCTCCCGGAAGATTACCGAGGCTATGACAAAGTTCTTGGCCTCTGCCTTTGTCAAGCCGACCGCCTGGACGCCCTGTGCAACCTCGCGTGCCGACGAAGACAAAAGGGCATTTTGCAATTCGTCTGTGGTCAAGAACCAGCCTGGCTTTCCTTGATGTACAGAAACGGGAGCCAGGTGAAAGAAACATTCAAAAGCTACAGGGGCTGCTCTGCAGCTGGTTTGGCTGGGAGGCCACTTGGGGAAAGCTGTGGTGGGAGTGGGGCAGATGCAATGGCAGGGATGGGGTTTAAACCCTAGCAAGGAGCTTGAATTCTCTACCTGAGAAAGGCCTCCAGTTCCGAGCTGAGAAAAGGGCTTTTTGGAAAACAAATCCCAGAATCCCCAGCCTCCATGGCAAGCTGGGATCACTCTAGCACTCTTCACCAATAGGCTTGGATCTCACCAGCTCTTTTCTGCCTTCCTACCTCAGTAGGAATGCATCTGCATTCCACCCACAGCAAAGAAGGTGGGGGGGAAGAAGCATCATCAAGAAGATGGGATCTGCAAACCTCTGGCCTGGCCATCCTGTTTTCTCTCAATAGGGGTGTTTCATTCTGGGGACGCATTCTGCCGGGTCATCACTCCTCCCTGTAGATGGAGGGAGCCCTAAGATCCAGATTGGAGGAGAGCTCCTTTGGCGGACCCCAGCACCCAAGATTTCCCCAACAGAGGGGCCACACTGGGTTTAAGTTCTGGTTTAAAAGAAATCATATTTTGCAGTTCTAGACTCCTCTGCCTCCAATGCCATTTGTGAGCACCTGGCTGTAGAGTTTACTCCAAGCAATTTAAATATTACCCCAGTGATTATTAGACCCCGAGATGCCCTTGTCCACCTTCCTGTCCCCACCTGAAAGGCAGCCCACGTACAGTGGCAGCGTGGGTTCGTTTTAGCCTGCAGGCTGAATGGCTTTATTGGGACTGGGCTCTTGCGGGTTGCTGAAATTTATTACTTCCTTTTCTTCCATATTTTGCAAGTTTTTTTCCCACCCCAGTAATATGTTTGGGGGGGCCCTCCTGCTCCTCCTGCTGAGAGGAGTCCTAAATTTCAACCCCAAACTCCTGCTCTTCTTGACCCCATCACTGAGGTTTGAGACTTGGCCTCTTTGCCTGCTTCCTCTTCCATTCTTTTTAGGTCAACATTTCTTTGGAAGGCACAACGGCTTCCCTGCAGAACTTAGATTTCCTCACCTGGAAGGATTGCATCCCTGAAGGGAACGGAGGATCCCGCCCCATCTATGTAGTCAAAGCAAATAGTAAGAGCCAAGTTTTCTCCATTCTAACAGTCTCATTAATATCCCCACTCCACCTTTAATTGCAGCTATATATAACAGTACACCTTTCAACGCCTTTCTGTGGTTTTCCCTTAGTATCTTGCAATAGTTAGGGGGAAATGGGTAGAATATCTTGATTTAAATATCTCAGTCACTGAAGAAATACTGTTGTAGATTTTGACCCAGGCAACTCACTCTCATGACTGAAAAGGTGAGGAATCAAAAATAACCCCATTTGTTACTTGGTCATGAAGGTCCAGAATTTGGGTGAATATCATCCTGAAGTAAAACAAGAAAAACCAACTCAGGTTAAAACAGCAGGATTGTGGTAATTTAATTTGATCGATTCGACCGATATCATTTCAGGAAGCGGGTTCTTAGGCGTGTACAATCCCGAACCAGAACTGTTACACGGCCTCCTTACCTCAAATGGGATCTTGCCAGACTCTCAAAATGCATGGCATCCCCCAGCTTCCTCAGGTATTTCTTGTGTATTTCTATATACGCAAATGTAAAAACTTGCATTCTGCCCTTCGCCAGGTGTGCTGAAGTAGCCTGCAATGTATACCACTAATAAAATAAGAGAAATAATTATGTGCCTTCAATTCAATTCTGATTTATGACAACCCTTTTCAGGGTTTTCCAGACAGAGTACTCAGTAGTGCACTACCATTCTCTTCCTCTGGGGCGCCCTGGGGCTACTGCGCAGCTGGCCCAAGGCTACCCAGGCTGGCTCTTCTCCCAAAGAAACCCAGTGCGGGAATTGAACTCCCAACGTCTGGCTCCACAACTTCAGCCAGCTTCAGGAAATATACTTTCTCCACTTGATTGCAAACGTGGAGTGGCAGCCTTGGAGATACCGAGTCATACAAGATTCAGCCCAAGTGCCAGCAGACTCTGAAAACTGTACAGAAAAGGTGTGACCCCCCCAGTTCATGACCCCTCCCCATGGACTTCACTGAGGTTTTGTGTTCTTACAGGGACACCTGGCCAAGAAGCTTCTAGATTTTCCCACTCACAGCTCCAGCCACCTGCTAACCCGCTGCTGAAAATGACATTTACTGGCATCTTGAACCCAACCACATGCCTCAACATTCATGACACCATCATGTTTGTGGTTTCTAAAGATCATTATCCTGTCTATGATGTGTAAGTACCAGTTCTGAACCCAGCAGGGCATCTGAAGGTTGCCTTGAAGCCTGGTTTCTCAGGCATGAAAGACCGCCTGGATGATGTCTCTCCAATAAGACTGGGATATTTTCACATAAAGCTCTGACTGCTGGTCACGATGATTATAACTGGAGTTGTTTTTACTTGGTTTTATTATGCTTTATGGTAATTGTAAGTGGCCTGGAGCACTTTCAGGTGGCGGAACGTTGAGGCAGAAATGGGGTAAATAATAAAACAATAATAAATGAGAGCAATCCTTTATGTGATCCATTTCATTTTTACATTCAAGACTCCTTCGGCTGCCAACTGTTTCATCTTGTGTCTATTCCCAGCAACAACTTATACAACACGAACCGAGAGTTTGACTGGGGAGCTTTCCGCAGCCTGGCAGAGGAAACTCAGCTGGCCTCCGTCTCCATCCTCCTCTTCTTTTACCCGTTCCACAATCCAGGAACTTACGTCTTGAGGCTAAGTAGCAACCAGCACAAAAGAATGGTTTGTCCGCATCTCAGGTCATGGCATGTTTTGTTTACCAAGCAGAATTTCCGATGCAAGGCCTGGTAACACCTCCAAAGGGTGGGGTGTTCGTTCCACATCCCCGTCCGTGGTAGGAGACCTGTTCGACATTTGATTCACGAATTCTTTTGTCGACTGCTGTCAACCTTTCATCAGAAGGGCATGAAAGACAAAACTGAAGATCAAAGCTGGGCGCAAACAGGGAATTCTCCCTCTTAAGCCCCATGACCGCTTGAGAGAGGGCTTTTCCTCCTAGTCATAGCAGGGGAGGAAAAGGTTATATTGCCCATCTGCCCCTGCATTGAACACATGTTCCATTACCAGCAGGAGGTGCTGTTTGCACCTTAAGGAACCTGCCTTTGAAACTCAGGAAGCTGGTGGGATTCAGGCCCTGGGTTCACCATATCCCATATGGGCAACCCAGACGGGCAGCAATGGGTTTCTAAGGATGCAGGTCAGATTTGTACCAGGAGATCCATCGGTTTCCTTGGTGGTCTCCCATCCAAGAACTGACCAAGCCTGAACCTGCTTTGCTTCATAAATTGCAATGCTGTGCTTAACTCTCTGGTCTAGCCTGGTCTTTCCAAAAAATACATCAGTTCACCTTCTTGCAATAAGCTGTTTCTGGGTGGTGCTGAGACTCTCCATCCGGTAGTGCTCTGATCCGGGTTTTCCGTCTGTGTATGTCCACTTCTGTTTTGTGCAGTACATCAGGGTCATGCCACACGGCGGGCAGTGTTACGAGGAAGGCCCCTTTTTCCCAACAACCCCCCGGCATGTGGTGCGTGTGGGAATTGCACAGATTCCGGACCTCATCCTGAAACCCGACTGGCAAGCAATCATTGTAATAATCATGGGACTCCTCTCTCTTCTCCTCCTCTGCCTGTTACTGGTTGTGAGTAATGAAAACCACCCACCCACCCACCACCACAACACCCCCCTCTTTCCCAGCACTTTGAAAAGTGACTGTTTGAACAATACCATCCCTTTGGGATGACCACTTGCAGAATCCCCAACCAGGCTGGGCATGAAACGTTTCCAAGCCCTGTCACAAACTTTGTTTCCCTGGGAATACAGGGAGTTTTCCTCTTCTATAAAACCTCTTTATTGTAATTATTATTATTATTTTTGCAGCTACTTTGTCCAGTTATTAGCTGGTCCAAGAAAGGAAGTAATGAGCCGCATTTCCGAAAATCGCAGTTGCAATATAACCTCGATAAGTATTCCTCCCGAGAATCCAGGGTCGTTACTGTCAGAAAATATCACCCCGGAGGGCATGGAAAGGGCCGTCTGGAGAATAATCACAGCTACGTAGAGAAGAGAGACGGTACGAACTTTTTCATTTTGGAAAGAAAAATACGTGAGACAGGCAGGTGGTTCAAATTTGATGGATGCTTCCCTTGGAGAAGGAGCATGCTACCCTGTCAAGAGTTGCCTGCCTGTTGCAAACTCTTCTTGCAATTTCTTTTAGACCTTGGAGCAGCTGTTGGACTCCAACTCCCATAAATCTTAGCTAGCGCAGCCATGGCCAAGCAAGATGGGAGTTGTAGTCCAACCACCTCTGGGAGGCACAGCTGTTCTCCATCTCTGATTAAGGAGGTTTCTCATCGGAGAGTCTCTCCAACCTTATGGCTAGCTTGTCATCTTTGAACCAGGAAGACATGACCTTCAAATCCCATCTCAGCCAAGGGGGAAGTGGATTAATTTTTTCACCCAAATCATTATGATTCATCTTCAGAGGGTTTTTTTCTCTTTGGAATGGAAATAGCCTGCTACTTTACAGCCCAGGTTTCCGGATGTTTTTGTGTAAACGAGACACGTTCAAGTATGCACACTAGCAAGCATTTCTTTGTGCTACTAAATTCATTATATATTAGTGCTGTCACCTTCTATTCGTCTTCTCTATTATTATTATTAACCTTGCTATTTCTACGAATAATCAAGCATCTTTTCCTAGGTAAGTGCGAAACATGGGAGTCGGAAGAACAAATCGACCTGGACTCGTTCAATGCCAACGTTTTCTTCGAAATCCTGGTGACGCAGTCTCTGGCGGTTACAGCCAAACTGAGCCAATTTAAGGAAGAGGTGTGCAGTGGTTATTTCCTGCATTACAGTCAAGGCAGTTGGTTGTGTTGTTGATCAACAGACAAGTCAGGCCAGAGGAAACAGGTTTAGATGGATGGGAGGCTTCCAGGCTCACCTGTCCCTTGATGGGATGAGAGCAACCAGCCTTTGGACCTTCTGCAAGGGTAGCAATAGGGTGCAGCCCAATGGTAGGTAGAAGTAAGTTGTCTGCATTAGTAAGTTGCTATGACTGGGCAGTGAGTAAGGCCCTCTCACCCACCCATTCTGGATTCTGGAGTTGTAGAGCATTCAGACTCTGCTGGGATATTTTTCTGGACCTTGGGTAGACCACAGAAAAAACCTTTATCCTTTATTCATGGCTGCATGCCCCATGTCTAAATTTCTGGGGGTGCATGCATTCTGGTGTTGGGTGGATAATTGTCACAATTCTGCCCGTGCTCAGAGAATACGAGGCTGAGAACTGAAGCCAGATCAAGACTATGGCTCGTTTATTTTGTGTGCTTTCATTTCTTTTTCAGCTGAAAACCTTCTACCACAAACTTCTGGAGGAAATAGCCCCACTCCGAGATCTCTGGCTGGCGAGGGTGTGCCTCTCAGAGAGGACGGAACCATATGACGAAGTCTTGATGGCAAACTACGCCAAAGCGAAACAGCAGGTATGGGAGCGGATGAACCTAATAATAATGATTGTATGCCATCAAGTCAATTCTGACTGGTGGCGATGCTTTCAAGGGTTTCCTAGGTAGAAGTGGTTGACCCTTCCCTGCTTCAGGGGGCGCCCTGTGACTGTGCAGCTTACCCAAGGCTACCCAGGCTGGCTGTTCCCCTAGGAGGCACAGTGGGGAACTGAACTCCTAATTTGTTGAGCTGTGCAGCCAGGCAGATGACTCTCATCATTTCAGATTAATGGAACACTCCTCTATTGGTGACACTGCAACACAGCAATGACCTGAAGGTGGAGCATCATCATCATCATGATACATCCTCATTATTTCTGAACTTCTTTTTCGTACAAATATTTTGCTCCAAACACATTTTTGGCTCATTTCCTTCTGTGGATAGGCCCCATATGTTACAAGCACAGCATGATCAGAAGATGAAATCTGTTCAAGGCTGAAATCTCAGCCCAGTGCCAGCCCCACATTTTAAGTTCTACGCCATCCTAGCTAAACAAGAGGGAAGTGGACATAAAAGAGGACTCGCGTAATTTAGGGGGCTTCAGAGACCATTTCGAATCGTTGCCAAACCCACCTCTTGAGTCAGAATGGGGCTCAGATATTCCACCTCTGAGCATGAGATACGATGTCAGAAATAGACGAAACTATGAGAAACAGCAGCCTTACAGCATGGAGCTCCCGTACCCTGATTTTTTTAAATCTTGCTGTTAGGCAGAAGAGGACATTCTGCGCCGGAGATACCTGGCAGCAGAGTACGAAGAAAGCGTGACTAGACAGCTCCACTTACTGAGCCAGGAACTGAAATGTCAAGAGGAACACTTCATCGCATTTCATTCTGCTCTCCGGGAAGCAACCAGGTGGATGGAGGCACTTGCCGATACCCTGTCTTCTACAGAAGACCCTAAACATGACCATCACAGGTAAGGAACAGACTTTTCCTAGACATCAGAGCTTGGGGGTGAATTTACTGGACATTGTAGTCCCTAAAAAGAACTTCTCTGAGTTGTGCTTTTTGCCTGGGGTGGACACCTTGAGGAGATAAAACTTTGCTCTTCTTCTCCTGGCGATTTCAGGCTATTGAGCCTCATCGATGCTGCCAGTAGCCGGATGTCCGGTGCAGTCCTTAAGGAGAGCAACAGGCTGATGCTGTGGGGGATTGCAGAAGGAGGCATCGGGGCTCCCCTGCTCCACCCAGAGAAGAACAGATTGCTCACCAAGGAGGAGCTTGTAGGTAAACGCAAACCCTTTAAAACCGTGTGGTTTCCTAAATGCACCTGAAAAAGGTTGAAAGCTTGAAACCTGGGGAAGTTTACTTTTCCTTGTGGGTTGGGTCTTTTTGATCCACTCTCTGGCCAGCAGGATCTTGGGGTTCCAGTCAGCCACTGAGAATCCAAGGATCAAAGAGAGCTGTGGGGCAAGTCTGCCCGATCCATGATCATTTGATGCATCGCTATGTCACTTTCGGAGGGGGGAAAACAAAAGAGATGGGCTTTGTTAAAAGAGGGGTGGATGTTCAAGGAAATGAATCAGGTTTTGGAAGGGAAAGTGTAAAAACGACAACCATCAGATTAGAGCATTTACAGATGAAATTGGGCTGTTTACACATGTGCATTTGATAGACCCCTCTTCCAGACTCCAAAGGGAATGAAGAATGGATTTGGGTATAAGTGCAAGCTTCAGATTTCTTCATCACATCCATTTCTGTTCTCAGGGCCAGATGGCGCTGTGAAGGCCCATGATCTTCTACACCAGGATGCTACCACTGGACTAATTGTACCCAACGATGAGGTCGTCTTGTTGTTGGCCAACAAATCCATGAAGCTTATATCCACAGGTCATTTTGTGCATCCCGGCACTGGGAAATTGCTTCCCGTAGCTGGAAATGTCGGCTTCGATCTCACCAGCTCTAAGCTCATCCCTATGGTGGATGTAGTACCTGGTAAGTATCTCTTCATGATCCTGCTGCCTAGAAACCCATCAGCCAGTCATGTTTCTAGGATGGGTTGGTCCAGGGTTGTCTGTATGCCAATGCTGATCCATTCTGTGCTCCGTTCTGGGCTGGTTCTATGATGAAGCACAGAGAAGATCCAATTGCTTCTGCTGGTTCTCTCTCTTTGCAGGAATTTTGAGGTGTGGACATAAAATGTGGAACGCCTCCCTCTCCACTAAATGCTATGTTTAGACTACGAGTCCCAAAATCCTCCCAGAGCCCTAGGCTGACTAGAGGCATCTCAAAGCTGCAGTCCAAATCCTCTACCTGTAACAAGCTTTACTATTTCATGCTGGGTGTGTGTATAAACCCTTTTCCTTCTTTGCTTAGGAGAGGTTTGTCATTCGGACCTTCCCGTCTTCCCCTACGTCCCGTTTCCCATCTGCCCCAGCACTGGCCTGCCGGTGAAGACCAATTTACCCGTCCTGCAGCCTGAGAAGGTGTTCAGACTGGGAGGCCTCATGCACGATCCCGCCTCGGGGATGGAGGTGCCCATCCTGGCCGTCACGATCCACCCGCAGACGGGCCAGAAGCTGTCCTTGGGCGGGACGTACCTGAATCCTCTGATGGGGACCATGATGCCTCTTGAGATTGGGGGACCCATGAGGGCGCCGGAGGGAGACAAAATTGTCCCCATCCTCGGAGTCCACCTGGACAGTCACACAGGTGAGTGGAGCGCTCTTCTCTCCCCTGCGCTGGTTGGCTGAACAACTCTCTCAGGGTTTGTTGTTTGGGGGACTGAATATGAGCAGAGGGGGTGTCCCCGGGGGTAGTGCCCACATTTTTAGGGTGACTAACTCTTGTAAGTCCTGAGGAGCTATTTGTTTACTTAAATATCTAGGGATGAACCTTGCAAACAGAGTAGACTTCGGTCTAGATGGGCGGGATATAAATAAATCAATATATAAAGCACCAAGCAAAAGCACAGGCTTTTTTTTCATAAAACTGTTCCAATATCTTAATCCTCAGTAATTTCCCCCTTTATTTTCCTAAAGATAAGCTGGTGAGAAAGTTGGAGGGAGGGAATGAAATTAAGGGTGCATGATTGACTACTCTTAAGAGGGGCTCTACTCATTAATTTAACGACCAGAGCTGATTTGATTCTCTTGGACGCAGTTCAGCTGATCAATTAAAATAATAAAAACCACATTAAAATATGTCTGTAGGGGGGCTTTTCAGCTCAGCTGCTTAGTAAGCATTTTTCATGCTCTTCCACTCTGTATTATTTATCTTAGAGACTACAGTGCATAAGATCCTGATTTTTCCAAACTCTCTGGCAACATTTGGCCGCCCAAATAGAAGCATACAAAAAGTTGGTGAAGATGGGCAGGATGGCCTTCTTAAATCCTGCCAGATCTTAATTCATTTGCAAACCAGGTGTGCCACCTTGAGCTTGTCGAAGGGAAGGCAGGATGAGTGGACAGATAGAGTGATAGGTTGATAGATCAATAGAGTTCAAGCTCTCCCTATGAGTAGATCCATGCCCAGCCTTGTTTTGGTTGTTCCTCAAAGCCCCCCCCCTCTCAAAATACCTAATGTTGTGACTTGGAGGGAGAGTCATCTGAGAGCCCGCTGAGATAAAACAGTTGAAATCTATGATGAATTAATTCTCAAAACTACTTTGGTAATAGTGAAGTCACCCGAAAAAAGAGTCTCGAAGGCCAGTTTTCACAAGACAGGCCTTCCATGTACTTCCTGCTGGTGTGTGGTAAGCGCCAGACCTTGATCTAAAAGGCTTTGGGTTCGAATGCAGCACTGAAACAGACTATAAACCTGATATGACAGAGAAGGACTGCCCAGAATAACCATTTCTGCTGTTCTCTGGATGCAGGAGATGTTCTTCCTGTGGGGGGCTTAAAGGACCCCTCGGGGAACCTCCTGCTTCTTGGGGACTCCTTTGTAGAGCCATTGAGTGGGAAGACGGTTCGGGTGCAAGGAGCTTGCTTTCAGCAAGACAAGATGGTCCCCCATGCAGGAGGTTACCAGCTAGTCCAGGATACCAACCTCCTGGTGGCCGAGATCCATGTGGCAAAGGCTCTGACAGAGTATAAAAAGGCCCTCTGTGAGGATCTGCGCCCTCCTGGAGAGGGACAGAAAGCCCTTAAAGAGACGGAAGAAAAGATGATGACAGCACAGGCCCAGAAGCTGGATTATTTGATGCACCGCCTACAAAATTCGGAGAAACAGCAAGAACATGCTTCAAATCTGAAGTGCACCGGTGGAAAACTCGGTATGTACTGGAAAGAAATGTGTGTGGCTTTCCATGGGGAAGAAATCAAACACATAAAGAGGACAGGGGGAAATTAAGTGTCATTAATAGCCCCGGGCATCTTGTGATGTCTAGAAAATAGCTGAAGTAGAGCAGAGCCCTAAATTGGATCAAGCTGAAGAAGCTGCGTGGCATTGCAAAAAAATGTGTTGTATTCTAACAAATTTGCCTGTGTTTATTTTTAATCTTTGCATATTCCTTTAGAGGCTCTTCATAATCTGCCACCCTGCACTGCAAACGGCACCAGTTTTGTGGAGAAGTCAAATAACTAATTTAACTTGTCTCTAAAACTGGCGTTGGTTTCTAAAGGTTCCCAGAGCAGCTTTTAAAAAGTTAAAAATACAATAAAAGGACATTAAGATAAAAGTGTTGAAACAATAAAATCTGAGGCTGTAAAAGAGCAGCAATAAAACAGCTGATGAAAGGCCAGCTGTGTGAGGCGCACAAATGGAATCAGTACCCATCGTTTTCTGATACAGATTTAAGTGCACACAACGGAGGTGGCAGAAACAGACCCTCTTGTCTCTTGATCTCCATGAAAACCCTTCCAGACTCTCAAATTACGGTATCAATAGCAAAGGACCCTGCTGGGGGTTGGGGTTGATCAATAAGTCTAATTATAACAAATAAATCTCCATAAACTCCAGTCCAATGCATAAGGCCTTCTTCTATGCATATGGATGTACATGCATGCTGCATGGACCCTAGTATCAAAATGCACTTCTAATGCTTCTAGAGTTCTGAATCAATGTCTTTGCTTGCTTGTTTTCTTCTGAAAACCAAATTAGGGATGATCAAATACCCCGGCACAGAACTGTGGATTCCTGCTGTGTTTGGCATGAAGATCCCAGATCCTGGGGGTTCCGATATGATGGTACCCCTCCTCGGAGTGGAATGCAACTGGAAGACAGGGCAGCCAATCCCCCTGGCTGGGACCATGGAAGATGCTGATGGGAAAGGTAGAGTGGGTTCAACCCTGTGACCAAGGGTCCAACTGGACCTTCTGGGGGAGCCCTTGCTAGAATTCTGGTTCCAGTAGGACTCCCTTATCTGTGGGATCCGTCTCCCTTATCCACTCTCCCTTATCCACGGTTCGAAAATATTAAAACTATTAAAAGAAAAAAAATCCTAGAAAGACGTTTCTAAAGGTGAGGTTACCAGAACTGGCCACTGGAGGGAGCCACAGACCAGGCTGTGCATATTGTTCGCTATTTAAAATAGCATTCCCTATAATCCGCATTTTTCAGCATCCACGGGGAGGGGGCCACAGGGAGTCCTAGTGTACAAAGTGATTTCAGCTTCTCCGTCAAACCTATAGTTTGGCTCAGAGATTTCTTACTTTGTGTCGCCAGAAACAGAAGTGAAAGATTTCACTGTTCTTGCAGGTCTGGTCCCTCTCGCTCTGGGCTTCAAGACCATTGACCCCATCACAGGGGAGACTGGGCCCGTGATCGGGGCCGAAATCAACCCCTGGACCAGCACTGTGGTGCCAATCGTCCAGTCTCTAGGCAGTTTACCGAGAGGAAATCCAGACCCAGATTTGGTGATTCTCAATTCCAATTAAAATAAAGGGGGGAGAGACAGCATCAGAGAGGGAATTTTATTTTCCCCTTGTGTCTCCAAACTCCCATCTGCTGTGTGCATCCTGTTCAAGGGATGCTTTGTTTTACAGCTGGCTGCCTTGGATAAGGAGACGGTTGCCAAACGGAGGTACTGGCAAAGCCAAAGAGAAAAGGAGGAAGATCTGCTTAAAGAGTTGGATTTCTTACACCTGGCGATCCTGGAGGCAGCCGACAAGGGCAAGATGAGGAAGGTGAGGTACAGGTAGGGCTGGCTGCCACGGAAACACAGAATCACAGAACTGGACAGCTGGAAGGGACCCCCCCCCAAAGGCCATCGCGCCCACGTCCCTGTTGAAGCAGGACGGACCTCCACCGCTCAAACCTCCTTGACAGGCAGCCCCTCTCCCCCCAACCTCTGCTTAGAAAGCCTTCAAGGAGCCCCCCCCAACCTCTCAGACAGCCTGTTCCCCTCCTCTCCGGGAATTCCTCACCATTTACAGGCAGAATCACATTTCTTGGAATTGGGATCCATGACTTGAGGAAATCCTGTTGCGGGATTAAGCCTGCTCATTTCAGGGACTACAGATTCCCCCTCGGGTCTAGTCTGACCCTGCCTAGTCCATAAAATACCTGGAGATGGGAAGGTCTGGGGGAGAAACAGAAAAATTGGGGGGGAAACAGGTGTTTTCCATTTTTTCCCCCAAAGTCATTTTTTTAAAAAGAAGTGTGGAATATGTTCTTTTGCAATGATAAATAATACGTATTCAAACTACGTATATAATGTGAAAGACCTCTGATGCTTTAGATTTCCAGAAAATTCCATTTTTTTCTGGGGAAAAAAACCCCAGACATTTTCTCATGGTGGTTTTTTCCCAGAAAAATGGCAATTTTCAGAAATTTAACATCTCTAGAAATACCTTTCAGGTCTGCTGTGCTTCCGGTTTGGGTCATGAACTGCTGATGGTTTCCCAAAGCCCGGTGCCGTTTTAGTGAAATCTTTTTTTTCTCCTTCCCACCCCAAATGTAGCTACGATTTAGGGTCAAACTGAAGCCAGCTGACCAGCTCTGCCGTTTCCTGGAAGAATGCTCAGCTCAGGAAGTTCAGAGGAGAGCCAGCCGGGACTTGAACAGGCGGTGGGACTCTGAACCATCCCTGCAGATGAGAGGTAGAGAAAGGCACCAGGCGTCCAAATGGCGCAGGGGAGGGCATGGGGGGGGAGAGAACCCTCCGGGGTCTTCCGTCCCTCCTCACTTCCTGATTGTCTTCTGGGTGGCTCCAGTGGAAAAAGACGAGCGAGACCAGGAAACCCGAGTTCACCTTTTGCTGAGGAAAGCCTTGGAAAGCCTAGTGCAGTTCATTCAAAGGGTGCAGCTGGAAGAGGGCCGGATCCAGATGCAGCTGAAGGA